CGGTATGCTCAACAGAAAAACAGGAATATTATGGTTACCAAATCTGAAATCAAATGTTTTCTAGGCATATTATTGTTGAGTGGCTACAGTAGTGTATTTCGCAGAAGGATGTATTGGGAAAAATCCAGTGATTCACACAACTCACTTGTTTCTGAAGCTATTTCTCGCAATAAATTTGAATTTATAATGTCTCACATTCACTTCCTAAACAATGAAGATCTGGATGCAAATGATAAATTTGCTAAACTAAGGCGTTTTTTCAATCACCTAAATAAACATTTTTTGGAATACGAAGTACCAGAAGAGCATCATAGTATTGATAAGGCAATGGTTCGATACAACGGGCGACATGGTTGTAAACAGTATATCCACGGGAAACCAATACGTTATGAGTTCAAATTTTGGGTTGGCGCTACTACTCTTGTTACATCTTATGGTTTGAACCTTATCAGGGTGCTTAGACGTATGTGAACGCGGCTTACAAATCTTTAGGTGTTGGCGCATCAGTTGTATTGAGCTATGCTGCTAGGCTAAAAAGCAAATGGGTAAATCTTAGGCTTCATTTTGTATTTGATAATTTTTTTTCTTCGCCAGCTTTGTTTGAAAGCTTGACTGAAAAAGGCATATGTGGTACAGGAACAATTCGTGAAAATCGTATACCCATGCCTTCTTTGAAAAATTCAAAACTTATGAAAAAGGAACAACGTGGAGTGTTTGATTATACCAAAGTAAAAGACAAAAACTTAATTTTTGTAAAATGGAATGACAACAATATTGTAACTTTTGGGTCTACAGCGATTGGAATTGAACCAGTAAATTCAGTAAAGAGGTATTCTCAAAAAGAAAAAAAGTTTGTGTATGTAGATCAGCCCGAAGTTGTCAAGCTGTATAATAAATATGTATGGGCTGGGTGGATAGGTCAGACCAGAATATAGCTCAATACAGAGTACAAATCTGAGTCAAAAAATGGTATTTCTCGTTCATCTCTCAATGTGTAGATATGGTCCTGACAAACGCCTGGCATATTTATGAAAAGAGAGGAAATAACGTGGATCAATTACAATTTAGAAGAAGTGTAGTTACAACCTCCTTGACACAAGAAGACTTATACGTACCAGCAAGGTAAATCAAGAAATTTTGGTGACATAAGGTATGATCGCTTAGATCATTTAGTCATTCCACAAACAAACAAGGTGTGCACAACTGTCATGAGCGCACGACTACTAGATGTAGAAAATGTGATGTTGGCCTTCACGTGAAATGTTTTGTTCAATATCATACACTTTAAAATTTGCAATATTGATGTGTTTCAAATTATTTGTACTATTTTAAATATTTTCTTTACTATTATTCTTATAGCTACCTTTATTCCTAATGTACTATGTATAGTACATCCTAAAAAACTAACTGTTTATGTATTTTTTTTAGAATAAATTGAAAATACCTCCAAAGTGTCGTCTTTTAATAAGCTTTTTTAAAAAATAATAAAAAAAAAACTGTTTTGCAACTTTTCAGGCATAAATGGGTTAAAACTTTTAAATAATTATATCTTGAGAACTTGCTGGATGAAAAAGATGATTACCGACCCGCTTAACGATAAGAATAGTACTTTTGTAACGATTATTTGTAGACTTTTTGTAGATTCTGAATGAGGGCATTGAAGAAAGGTTGCTTGACGGTAGTGGTGTTTCGCACCTTGCAGCATCACGCTTGAAAATTCTCATAACGGAGGACAGAAACTGTTAGATCTTGGTGAAAGATTAGCGTATCAGGCCAAGAAAATTTGTTTCAATCTAATTACCAAGAAATGTTTTCCTCTGTTTCTATCAATTTTATTTTGAGTATCTATAGTTTCATAGAAATGGACACAATAAATAAAACATAAACTGTTATATTTACAATAACATCCAAATCATTCAAAACTGCACGTATAGGCGACTATTATACAGGGTGAAATTAAAAGAAAAAATGCCGAGACACGGAAAAATATTGGTCGAGGTGGACAACTTTTTAACCAAAAACTACTTCACCCACTTTCACCCTCGGCCCCTAGGGTCATTCCCTTAAAAATTTTAAATGGTAAGGGGTATCAAGTAATAGCTTGTTTGAAAGGTCTTAGTTTGGTTCTTTATTTGATTTTTTTAAATCAGTCGATTCGTTTTCGAGATAGAATACAAAAACACACGGAAATATCACTTTTCATTTACAATAAGTGTTCAAAATGTTGCCCGTTATGGTTTGCCAAATCTACAATTTGTTTATAATTCAAAACGGAAACTTCTGGATGAAGCCGCTCAAATTGAAGTTTTGGGTTATTTTGGAATAAATCCTCTGCACACACAGTTACCAAATTCCATAAATTTCAACTATTCAAAATGAAAATACTCCAAGGGTTAACCAAAGATGAAATATATATACTTTTTTCTATGGCGCCATTTGGAATCCATTGTATTTGCTCCCCAACCTGAAAGTTTGGATGAACTTCGTCAACGCATCATCGAAAGCTACCATGATATCCCACAACATGTTTTTGAAAATGTCCGTCAGAAATTTGAGTATCGCATATATCATTGCTTGGGCAATAACGAGCAAGATTTTGAACATTTATTGAAATAAAAAGTGATATTTTCGTGCCTTTTGTTTTCTATCTGAACAAATTAAAATAAATACAGATTTTTGTAATTTTCTTGAAAACGAATCGACAGATTTAAAAAAAGATTAAACGTCAAATAAAGGACTTCTGAATACCTTTCAAACAAGCTATTACTCGATAACCCTTGTCATTTAAAATTTTTAATGGGCTAACCCTGGTGGGCAGAGGGTGAAGTAGTTTTTGGTTGGAAAGTTGTTCCCCTTGACAAACCTTTTGACCTGTCTGGGTGTTTTTTCTTTTAATCAGTTGTTTTCGATAAATCCATGGTGGGAAGTTTTCAAATGAATAGCCTATGAAAAACAGAAGAATACTTTGGTTGACATCGAAACACTATGATTTAGTTTCAGGTATTATGTTTTGATATTTTATAGCCACGAGTATTAGGAAAATGTATTGGTCATGCAGTTCAGACAAGTGCTAGTTGCTCATAAGATGGGCTAGTTAGAGCCTACTGAGTATTTATAGAAACTTCCTGCGTTTCATAAACCAAATAAATTATACTGAGGCTTAAAATGATATCAACGAAAGAGGATTTGCTGTCATCGGATCCACAAGGATGAACGTTTGCGGAAAAATAGATTTTAAAGATGTTGTTTGCAAACATGACAAAATAAGCTCTATGCCGAATAGCTTTGTTCTAACAATTCTCGAATAGCGTTGGCCTTGGTTATTCAGCCGATTCATAAAAAATATAAAAATGTAGCCATTGGCCGGTGTTTAACGTAAAGACGGGATTAACCTGATCTTTTGGAGGTCAGTGGGCGATATTCTCTAAATTTTTAGTTTTTTGTTTTAATACGTGCTTCACTATGTGAAGTCATACAATATGTAACAAATGACGGAAGTTAGTCGCATGACATGACTTTCTTGGGGAGGGGGATGTGTTCTCGAGTCTCGCATGCGACATTGGAGTTTTATTTTTGCGAGTCTTGTCACTTGAGTTGAGCTAGTTGACTTTAAGAAGGGCGTTGGGAAAATGGGGTCAGAAAGAAATGACGTCAACTAGGTTAACTCTGCAGTTCCCATGCAACGCTTTTATCAGTACGTAAACGAATATGTTCAGCACAACTTAGACACTCTGAGGAAAAAGTCAGTCAAACAGGTCCATACAATTAGCCCATAGACATTTCTTCTCTGCCCTACTGGTAGTGCATCTGGAAACGTGGCCGTTCTCCGATACATAACTCGAGTAGACGGGGCACCGTGAGCGTGGTAGTTCAGCTAGAGCATAGAAAACACTATGCTGTTGCTCGGCAGAAATACGTGTGACTCCATATCAGAACAGTTATCACGGTCGGCGCACGATGCCAGCAGCAGCCGCGGCCGATGGTACGCGATCCCTCTCCCGGGAATATTTTTAAGGGCTAATGTTCTCGTACAGAGACATCTGTGATATGTGAAATATGTCTAATAGGTGCGTAAAATGAGTAATGTTGGGAGCGTATGAATGTACCAGCATAAAAAAATGAGATAAGTCCTCCTCACCCCCTTACAACCCCCACCCACAAGTTTTTTTACCTCTACAATTTTTTTCAAAAATGTTCAGGGTTCTCTGAAACGTCAAAAAAAAAAACAAAGTTTGAGCAATTCTCAGAAACTAAAAAACTTTTCTGTCCTTGGCTGATTAATAATATCGTATACTATTTTATATATTTAGGCCGTAATGAGATTAGCGGACAGATCGACGGACCGACAGACCGATGTACATGTCATATAACATCCATTGTATAAAAATTTCATCGAAATCCGTGAGGTACTTCTCAAGCATAGGCAGTTATAGGACATCATTTCCAAAATTTTCCCGCCAGTAGGAGTGAGAAGTAAAAGTAAGTACTTTGAAGCAACTCATATTCCTACTTTGTCATCTACTGTTTGGTCGAATGGTAAAAAAAATCTCGAACGCATCACTCATTGTCGGATGGCCTTAGCTTCGTGAGATATTGTCGAATAAAAAATGTTGATTGCGAGATTCAAGAAGATACTTTATGAGTTTCGTGTATCATTTTAGCGCGAAATAGTGGCCATTCGATATTCGAAAACATGCCCTCTTGCCGAAATCGGCTGCGGATTTGCACGATACTGTTAGGAAGAGGCGATAGCTAATTTTTTCTTCGTTACTGACCATATTTTCCCAACACTCTTCTTGAAACCAAATAACTTAACAGATGTTTCAAACGATGACAAGAATCACATAAATAAGATCCTAGTGTAGCATGCGACAATATATCGCATGCTAGATTCGAGAAGACCCTCCTTCCCGCACTTAATAAGACGTAGATTATGTGGAATTTAAGGAACCTCTACTGAGGGAATATAATTAACATTGTTGAATATTCTAGACATAATTTCATCCACATGCACTGACTGAACATGAAGTGTAGCAACGACTCACCTGCACTCTGGACTCCGTCAAGCCGATCCTCATGGCGATCTCCTCCCGCATGAAGATATCCGGATAGTGCGTCTTGGAGAAGCACCTTTCCAGCTCATTGAGCTGAGCTGGCGTGAACCGCGTTCGATGTCGTTTCTGTTTGCTGGGCTTATCCCCATCAATACTGGAATTTGAGCCTCCTAAGCCCAAACTGGCCGCACTGAGTCCACTATCCCCGCACAGGCCCAGTCGGTTGCCTGTTTGGTCACTTAGGGACTTTAAGTCGTGGTGCGGGTGGTGAGACTGTTGGTGCTGCTGGTTGCGCTTTAGGTCCTCGGTGCCCGAGAAGCTCTCCTTTATGCCTGAGAAGGAAAGTGGGATTAGAATGGTTCACTTTATATCTCTTGGGAATCGTTTTCCGCGGAAGCAACGGCATTCGAGACCCGATCGCAACCCGATCCGAACATGCTTCTAAATACAAGCGTTCACGCCAAATAGGTTCGCAGTTCCTCACCAGTAGATGAAAGTTGCGAACTTTGGATGTCGTTGTGGCAGGTAAAAATCCTTTTTAATGTCAAAAAACCGACAGAAAGACAAATTGCTATCTAGATAGTGTGCAAATAGTTCATTCCGCTATTGCTGGCTCTGAGCGCTGCGAGCGTCACAAAAAGGATCATCTGTGGAGGAATGACTTAACGACATACTCAATGTCTAGCCGTTCCCCAGCATGCTTTGTTGGTTACAAAATGCCAAGATAGTCTGTAGTGTAATATCTCTGAGATGTGACTAAGAAAATTGGTTGAGTAGCAGAGTAGCAAGATCGCATCTGGATGATTGTATGGTAAAGTGTAATAACTTTTTCACGTTTCATACATTAATATTTCCGTCTGTCTCATACTCACCTGTTGGATGTTATATACTTCTCTTCTTGTCTCTATCATTTTTGAAATTCTGCAAATTTGCATACATAATTTCCAGGATGAATAAGTAAAAGTGGATACCAACTAATTTCCCAGCTTAGCTTTGTATATGTCGGCGTCAAACGCTGAAATCCGTCATTCCCTGAAATGCCTAGTCAGTCTCCGTATTGCCGGCAAACACCGTAAGTTTGATTATTACAACATTTGAATAAGCATTTCAGTCATTCCCTGTAATGACTGAACAATTTCAGTCAAACACCGTAACAACCACATTAACTTCGTTACGGGATTCGCCTATTTCAGTCAAACGCTGTAATCAATACAGCGTTGCTCCAATGAAGTATACTTTATCTGAAGTCACTTGAAACACTGTGAAATACCGGTTGCGTTTTATATATCTATATTTAACACGCTCTGTTGCTGCAAAAATCGCCAAATTTCGCAGCAAATATCCCCCGTATAAGAGATCAAAGGCAGTTTCACCGGTCCACGTGGAGTAAAGCACGCCTATGCGTGGACATAGCCAATGAGAAAGCGTGTATTTCAGAGCTCGGAACAAGTGCAGGTGGCTACTGAAAATTGAAAAAGTTTAGCCAGTGCCGTGTAGCGGTGAATAAACGTGTTTTCTTTAGTCTGTCCGAGTTTTTTCATAGATTTTATTAGTTTGTGTGTTTTTGACTTTTGAATACTCAGTTTACTTGTTGATTTAATTGTTGTGTTGATTGTTCTTGTGTGTCCTAAATATAGCTCTTTGGAGACCTTGGGAAAATGCTCCAAGCCACGAGGAGATGGTTGATGAACCTGTGCAGGCAGAATTCTTTCATAAAGATTTAGAGGAACAGACCCAAAGAGTAATCCTAAATATGTATGATTGTCTGAAAAACGAAAATCCAGATTCCTCGCAAAATCAAATTTTAAACAGAATTTGCATCCTGACAAAAATCAGTCGGTCTACCATTTATCGGGTTATAAAAAGGGGAGATGTAGTCAACCATTCCTTCCACAGAAAGCACATAGGGCAAAAATTAAAAAGAATAGACGTGGGTTTTCAGGAAGATATTCGTCGTATAATATACGGATTTTATAAAGAAAATTTGGTTCCCACGTTGGAAATGATACGGGATAAATTAAAAGATTATTCTGAAGATTTTTATAATTACAAATGCTTAGACTCACTGCACTGTATTGTAAAACTGTGTGGTTTTCAATACAAAAAATTAGATAAAAGAATGGTGATTATGGAGTCGTCTCGAATCGTTGAATTGCGTCTAGAATTTTTGCACAAAGTTAAAATCTATAGAGAGCAGAAAAGAATTCTGATTTACCTGGATGAAGCGTGGTATGATTCCCATGATGTTGTGCAGTACGGCTGGGTTGACGACAGCAACAAGTGCATTTTAAATGCACCATGCAACCGTGGAAAACGAATCATTATTCTCCATGTTGGCAGTGAAAATGGATTTATACCTAATGCCTTGCTGTTATCTGCCAAAAATATCAAAGAATCATGTGCCGACTATCATGAGGACATGACCTCCGACTTATTTGAAAAGTGGATAGAGCAGCAGTTAATACCAAACATTTCCCCAAATTCAGTGATTATTTGGACAATGCGCCATACCATTCCCGACAGAAAAACAAAATTCCGAATACAGGCACAAAAAAACAAGACATTATTGATTTTATGAAGGATAAGGGAATGGAAATACCACAAAAATCAACCAAAGCCATATTATTGGATCTTATTAAAAGACAAACATTTGAAAAAGAGTATGTTGTTGACAATCTGCTTCAGCAAAATGGCCATGAAGTATTACGTCTACCTCCCTATTACTGCATTTTTAACCCGATTGAGTTGGTCTGGGCTGCTTTAAAAAAAAAGTAAGAAAACATAATCAGACCCCTCAATTAAGTGAATCGCTATTGGCCACAATAAGAGATGCAGTATCTCATATTGCTGCCACAGACCTATGGAAGCAGTGTTCTAGGCATATTATTGAAAAAGAAAATGAATATTGTGTTTTGCCTCCTGTAAATCCCGTTATAATTCCTCTACAAGATGACTCTAGCGACAGCTCCGAAGGCGAGGATGATATATAAATACCTATAATGTAAGTCTTTATATACCTTTTTATATACCTACTTGCTATGTAAATATTTGCCTATGTCAAACGTTGGAATTCTGTAATTTTTCCATTTCTTAACTTTCAGTCAACATAAATTAAACTCCCAATATAAGTATTTTTTATCCCAAATCAAAAAAATAAGAAGATAGTAAAATCCAATTTATTGTGATATAAAAACATTATTATTATCGTTCTAAATAAATGCCGCACGCCTATGATACGTCATGAAATTACAAAGGACGCGCCGACCAAAGGTTTTTATGCTATTTTAAGTGACTTCAGATACACCATACATAATATAACAAGGTACTACTTTATCAATAATATTAAAAGAAAAATAATCAAGCATGAATTAATCTGAGAGGAAAGAAGAATAGATTAAAACGTTGTCTTTATTATTACATTATTGTTTTTTTAATCAAGTATTCACTATATATACGAAATCCAGCAGCTGGATGCTGCTGTTGAGCAAGCCTATGTGCGCTATAATTTAGGTTAGGTTCAAAAAATTATAAAAATTAACTTACCTCCTTTAACTCATTTGTATTCCATAGTTTTTTCTTATTCACACTATCATAGTATTCACTTAGTTTCTTGTAAAACAACTCTGAATGCTACGACATTTTTACAAACACAGAAAAGACTATGTGTATACTCAAGCAAATGAACACAAAACTGGTACAATGAATGAGTGAATTAGGCAAATACCGTAACGAAGTTGATGTCGTTGTTACGGTGTTTGACTGAAATTGTTCAGTCATTACATGGAATAACTGAAATGCTTAGTTAAACGTTGTAATAATCAAACTGTTGCGGCGTTTGCCGGCAATACGAGGACTAACTAGGCATTTCAGGGAATGACGGATTTCAGCGTTTGACGCCGTCATATATATCTCAAGTAAGTGTATTTGAGACCAGATTAGCAACACACCATGAACCTATGCACCGCTTTTAGTTCAGGCCTCCAATAATTCGATCTTTGAAGCAGATGTTACATCACATCAGAGCCAGACATTGATAGCTGAAGTGTCATGAAGCTTAGGCAACACGTATAGCTACACAACGACTCCACATCAAGATAACAACAGCTAGTTTTAAATCTTGTAGAAAAACTTACATAATGATACAAAAAAAACTATATAATGTCAAGAAGAAAAAACGATATGTCACTTTTCAGGATACGTAATACCTCTGCCCATCGTATCGTTAAAAACTCGTCGAGAATCGAATACAAGTACGCCTCCATCCCGTTTTTGTGATCTTTGGAGTAACTTATTGGAACAGCAGTTTCGAAACCCTTCCAGTGCCCCTATTCTTGAGTTTGAGGGAGTAGAAATTGTAAAAGAAAGTGGCAAAAGGTGGGCGTGGCCAAGAAATGCAGTATTCTTTAAATCATTTCTACCGAACAGTGATAGAAATGAATTCACTTTAGGGAGTCGCGATTTCTCTTAGTACCGACCAAGAGAAACTGGAAAAATTAGTAGAAAATAGCGCTATACAACCTAAAAATTGACGTTTTTGTCACCGTTATTGTCGTTCGTTAAACATATTGCAAAAAATGGATAATTTCAATCAATTGATGTATTGGAACGATATTATTAACGAGGATGTAGAGGAGATTGCTGAGGAATGGGAGATTGGGAGAGATATTCTTGGGCTCCGAGATTGATTCACAATTTCCGATCGAAAATTCGAACAGATGTTTAGGTTGACCAAAGATTTGGTGTATGAATTGCTGGAGATATTGACTCCATTCATACAACCACCCCGACGAGCTTCTGCACTTTCGATCATAACAAAGGTAAGAGTAGCTATTAAGTTTTAGTTATTCTAAAACAGTACCTATCCTTTAATCTATGATGGAATCCATACAGAGGCAAAAGAGCAGAATAATTTAATTAAGAATTTTCAAATCCATTTTCAGGTTTTGGCCACTCTAAGATTCCATGCTAGTGGCAGCCATCAGGAGATCACTGGCTCCAACCATTTTGTTGGGATTAGCCAGGCATCGATGAGTAGAGCAATAAAGGAGGTAACAGAGGCATTAAATCAACCACAAATTCTTGCAAACAAAGTATGCTTTCTCAGAGATCACAGGAACAAGAAGCTCTGAGTAGAAGTTAAGTTTCCTTAATTAGTGGCATAGTGTATATATTAGGTATTCTTGTTAGTTTTTCTAAAATACAACTTGTAGAGACTTTCTGTGGAGAGATGTAACTTTCAAAAAACAAAATCCAATACTTTTTTTAAGTTGGTCCAATAGTTAGCAATATGGAAAACAGGCCTGAAGAAATTTAAGCAAAATTGCTGTTTTTTCATTATTGACTCTATTCCCTCTATATTTCATACCCTACATACACCTTTTTAAAAATTACACTTCCTATTTTTAGGTTTTATAGTATTCATAACTTCCCATGGGTATCATAGACTGTACACATGTGGCAATTGTGTCACCCAAATGACCCATTATACCCTGAACATGTGTACGTCAATTTAAATCTGGTGGTAAAGATTCAGTCAATGATTATAGGCCAATTTCAGTGATTAGTGTGCTCTCAAAGATTTTAGAATTTATAATAAAAAAAAGATTGTTAGCGTTTTTGAATAAATACATCGGTATGGACAGATTTCAATATGGTTTGATAAAAGGCAGTAGTAGTACATTGAGCGCTACAATGGATCTTGTAAATAAAATAGCAGTAGTCTAAGACAATAAAAAAATGCAATTGCGGTGTTTGTAGACCTAAGTAAGGCATTTGATATTTTATTGCAAAAGCTTAGAGACATGGGATTTAGAGGGAATTTATACAATTTATTGAAGTCGTATCTAGTTGACAGAAAGCGATACGTCAAAATAGGAAACAGTAAGAGTCAGTATTTGACAAATCTGTCTGGTGTACCCCAAGGGTCAGTCCTGGGGCCCCTTTTATATCCCCTCTTTGTTTAAAATTTGCGTTGTGCTAATCTTAACTGTGATCACTTCACTTTTGCAAATGATACTGCATTCTTATATACAGGGGATTGTGAAATGAGTTTGGAGTGTGTCATAAATAACAATTTAAATCTGTATTACAAATGGCTGTTACGTGGTAAGTTGAAGAAAAATCTAGAAAAAAACTAAATTTATGATGTTTAAACAGAAAAATAGACATTTAATTGTGCAAAACATTAAAATTAACGAAGTAAGAATCGAGTAGATAGGATGTATGAAGTATTTAGGTTTAATGATAGATTTAATTAATCCTGGCATGAAAATGTTAATCATGCAATAATTAAGATCACTTCAACGGTGGGAGCCTTATATAAATATACTTATATCACTTTTTACTTAACTTGTAGGTACCAGTATGGGGAGTATGTGATGTTAATTTTAGTAAGGTGTAAATACTTCAAAATAAGTCATACATTTTTTTATTTAAACTGAATTGTTTTGCACTAACCTATATGAGGAATTAAGCATTTCTAACTTGTTTAGCTACTTGTGTTAGAACAAAGTAAATTCATATATAAAGTAATAATAATTAAAGCACAAAAGTGTGATACAGAAATACTTTTTACCAGTCATATACATGATCATAGTTCTAGAACACATATGTGCATATACCAGTCTAATGTTAATACTAACATAGGCCTGAATAACCCCATATCCCAAGCATTTAAGACATACAATAAGCTGTCCGGACAAATAAAAAATAATACTCATTATTATTTTTTAAAAAGCCTGAAACACTACATTAATAGATAACAAATAATTTATATTGTGAAATATTAAATAAGCGCATGCAGAACTATTTTATTATTGAAGCACTTCTCAGAGGACTGCGTGTTATGTATGTGTAATACTTATTTTTGTAATAGATCGTTTCCAAATAAAAAAAATCATAACCGGTTGATGTAGTTGGATCCTACCTACCGACCATCATGGTTTGACACATTTATGAGGCGATCACTATTGAGCAAAGCACCGTTTGAACTATACACGCACTTTTCCGCACAAAATTGCATTCTCAAAGCACAGCATTATTGGACACATACAAATGTTTTATGGTGGACCGTACACCTACAGGCGCTGCCTAGGGTGCCAACCAGGCTTCGCGGACTTGACTGAACGTCAAAAAGCGTCGCCGTTACCCATCCTCTGCCACCTAATTACACGACCTCGCCCTCTAATTTAACCCATTTAACTGGCCTATCGTTACTCTGAATCACTAAAGACTTTAGCGTCAATTAGTGGACCCCTTCCCTCCCCGTGCAGCTCTGACTCACCTAGATTGTTAAGCATGATCCACCGCACCACGCACTACACTGTTTATTTAATGAGTACTGATTTCGGACTGAATTGCCGGCCGGGAACCGCTCCGGCCGGATCGAACCTGCGGGGGAGGGGGCCAATGGGAAGATCCGAGCGCTTGGTAATGGGCGTGGTTAACGCAAATGCCGAGCGCTGATTCGTGAACCAGCTCGGACGCACCTTTTCCGACGAATCCGTCGCAGCGCTTTGTCTGAGTCCGGCTTCTGTCGAGATGCACAGGCGGATGTCCTGGGGTAATTAGTTTCGCTGTCTGACGATGCGTTTTGGTATTTGGAATAGAAGCATTCGGGAGGCGGAGAGAGGAGGTTGGTTGTTTTTCTTCGAAGCTGAAGGAATATTTCACTTATCGGAAGTTGTTCGACGCCCGAAGATATATCTCTCTATACAAAAACGCCTTAGAATTAGACGTCCAAGAAACCATCTATTACGACTTTAAGTTTACCTTGGATACGAGATTCAAAATAATACAAATTGGTAGTTAGTGCATTCCATGCATCGAGTTTTTTTGATATAAAATGCTATATGAGTAATGTAGCATCCTACAAGTATCCAAATGGTAAAAAGAAGTGCAACGCTTCGTACGTCAGAGTCTTTGAGTACGGTGAGATCCACGCAAGTGTATTCAAAGACCTACGTCGTTAGCAGTGACGTAGGACATCGTAACAACTAGACTTGGATTAAAGTGCTTGAAAGTGGGAATCCAGCTAATTCTATTACACGACAAAGATATAACTGGCTTAGGTCTTTTGTAAGTGGATCAATCACGATCCTCCACTGCGACTCACTGGTTTTTGTGGCTTCCACCTATTTATATTTCTCCCAGTAATTCCCACCTCCTGAGGAAGTCGATCAACTTATTTGGAGAAATATCCTTCAGGCCTCAACTTGAAGTACTGTCCCTCCCAAATGTGAAAATGACTCTTATCTTAAAAATGATTAACTGATTCGTCCCCCTTCATGCACAATCTGCCCTCAGCGTCTTCCGCCATACGGTACAGTCCCATGAAAGCTTTAAGGCTATCCCTCGTTAGCCGCAACAATACCTTTTTGTTGTTAAGATGGTTGTGATTGCCCTAACATGAGTTAACCCTGTTAATCCCTCCTAGTGTTGGTGAATCTTTCTTTCCAACTCTATAGGGATTGAATGTACGCAATCAAGATCGCTGTCTCAGGCCCTATGAAGGGTGTGCAAACCACAATCTTTACGAGAGTCCCGTTACATTTCAGCTCTGCGACCATTCTGGCACACAGTTCTATAGCGTATAGCTCTGCCTGAAAAATCGATGCCCAAGTTCGTAGGCTGACCGATTTCTTAGTTTTCAGCATCGGCACGAAGATACCAGCCCCAACAACTACCTCGGACTTGGAGCCATCTATGCATGCACTGATATCTTTCCTCATTAGTTCAGTTTGCTGTTTCCACGTATTTCTTTGAGGAATTATCACTAAATAGGATTTAGCATACCTTGTTATTTTTGGCATTAGGTATATCAGAAGGCATTCCCAGACTGTAGTGGTTTGGTCACCAACATGTGCTTATCTTCTTGAGTGATATTGTCCATTATACCATTTGCTACATGATATAGCATATACGTTGCCCATCTTGCCTGTTTTTCCAATTATATGGCCAAGCGAGGTAGGTTAAGAAAAACCTCCATGGTTGCAGTTGGTGTGGTGCGAAAAGCTCCAGTAATCAACATGTAAGCTTCTCTCTGAAGTGCGCGTAGTTTAGCCTGGACAGTACGTTGCGCTGCCTTGCCTCACCAAACTACAGATCATACAGGGTGTAACAAAAGTTTTAAACGCATTGAATATCTGACGAATGACTTATTTATTTATTTATTTAATTACACCACCAATAGTTTATAAACCAATTACTGGTGGGAAATACAGTACTTACATATATACCTATATAACAATCACAAAATGAACTAATTGCATTGATTGCTTAGTAGGTAATTACCAATAAGAACGCGTGAGAAGCTACCACTGATCATAGCTCAATCAAACTGTGGTAGCTCTAAAAAAACTACCGCTCTAAATACTCTCTTAATAATAGATATGGATGTGTTGAAGATATCAAAATAATTCATATAGTCATTATAACATGAGCATATGGAATATAGCGGTGAGTGCAGCAGTAGATTCTTTCGTGGGGTAGGTAGGTAAAAGACAAGGTTGGCCCTTGTTCGTACTCTAGGTGTATTGAAATTTAGCATAGACAAAAATCATGCACAGTCATGTTGGTAATTTATAACTTTGAACAAAAAGACTAAAGATTGTATCTTCCTTCTATCATCAAGACTGAGAAACCTATGCTTTTGAAGTAAGATATTTTGTGAAATCCCTATGGGAGGATAAACACCATCAGTTTTGAGAGACAAATACTTCCTCTGAATTTTTTCCAGTGAGTCACATGAGGTAACATAGCATGGGTTCCAGATTATCCTTCCGTATTCCAGCTTAGAAAGAACAAACGAATTGTACAGCACTGTAGGTGCTGTGGTACCGGTAAACTCTCTTGAATTGCGTATAACGAAACCCAGTGCTTTGTAGGCAAAATTCACTAAATTAGTTAGGTGTGTATTGAAGCTCAATGTCCTGTCAAATATTACTCCCAGGTCCCTGAATTTTATAAATATTGGTAATTTTGCATTTACTCTCCTAGTGAAAGTTAAAGATTTACATTTGCTCACTTTGATGGTAAGTTTATTAGCAGCACACCACCCAGACAGTCTGTGAAGATTCCTTTGTAAATAAAAGCAACTAGATGGATCATCAATTTGCCGGTACAGTTTTACGTCGTCCGCGTAGAGCAGAATATTGCAGTCAATCGTATCATTAATAAAAATGACGAATAGTACTGGACCTAAGGAAGATCCTTGTGGGAAGTCGGTTGATGGAAAAAAGTGAATTGATTTACCACCGTTAAAATCCACATATAGTTTGCGATCAGACAAATACGACTGAAATAATAATACCAAATTTTTTGATAAGCCAATGCTATTTAGTTTTCCCAGTAGTAAACCATGATCGACTCTATCAAACGCTTGACTGAAATCAGTATATAGCACATCAACCTGACCATTAGAATCTAACAAATTGGTAGGTTTAGGTTCGAAACCACGGCGGATCTGTTGGTGATATCCGCGATGTTTCCAAATCTACAGTTTTTCAGAAACTGATAGCAACCACTCCATTTGATTTGGAGGAACTAAAACAACGAATAGGAAATGAATGCAGGAAAATCTACGAAAGCGGATGTCTTCAATATGTTCTAAACGCATTTCCGGAACATCCAGCTTATCGCCAAGAAGTATAAATTAACAACTAGGTTTTACCGTATTCTTTTTTTTTAATTCTTTTGTTTCCTTGGATTATAAAATACACTATTTTAATCAATTATTATAATTCTGTTATTTCGAAAGCTATGAGGTTTATGTCAAAGTATGTTCAATAAAATGTATTCATAATAATAATAATAAAAGCTTTATTGTCTAACAGTTTCCCATTTATAGAACCATTATTAACATAATACAAAAGCAAAAAGAAGCGAAAAAAAGCGAAAAGAAAACAACAAATGCAACACAGGTATAAATTTGTAACATGAGCTATTGGTCCGAATAAGCATTAGCTGCCTTTAGCAGGTAATTAACATTTGTCGTAAATATATCACAGTAACATCCAATTATGTTTAAGTTAGAGCACATTACATATAACGGTGACTTGAGAAGAATGTTTGTCCTAGCTCTAGGAAGCCCGAATATTTTATGATTGCGAGATGCAAACGTTGGAGTACGAAACTTGATCTGTTCCAGGATCATGGAGCAATCAATTAAATTGTTGATCATTTTGTAACCAAATATTATTGACTACGACTACGTTTTTTCAAAGCCAGCATGTCTAAACGACTACATAGTTCCTCATTACTTGTACCTCTCTCTGGATATGTCCCATCAATCCTAAACAGAATAAACTTCATAAACTTCCGTTGTACTCTTTCAATAGCTGTGCTATAGCATTCATAGTAAGGGCTCCAAATAATACTACAATATTCGACTTTGGATCTAACATAAGCATAATATAATAGCTTAATAGACTTTATGTTATGAAAATTCCTGCAATTCCTTACTATGAAACCATAATCCGCCAATGCTTCTGATGCTTTTTTATTTATATGCTGACTAAAAGTTAACTTTTGATCATAGATTATACCTAAATCACGTACATCAGAGCATCTTTATAGCACAGACCCATCAATAGAGTACGGATATTCGCAAACATTAATTTTCCTGGCATAGCTGACTATTTTACACTTACTCACATTAAGCTCCAACTTGTTTTCTACACACCAAGACAGCACAACATTTAATTGGTGTTGAGGTTTGATACAATCATCAGGAGTATTTATCTGCGAATAAATTTTTAGGTCGTCAGCAAAGCATAGGCGTTCACATTCAACTGAGTCACAGAGGTCATTAATAAATATCAAAAACAGTAATGGTCCCAGATTGGACCCCTGAGAAACTCCAGAAGGTGCCAAGTAGGTCTCAGATTGGAAGCCATTATAGCTAACAAATTGTCTACGATCGGATAAGTAAGATTTCATCAACTCCCTAGCATCGTCTGTGAAACCAAGTGCACCTAACTTATTTAATAAAGTTTTGTGGTTAATTTTATCGAAAGCCTTCGAAAAGTCGGTATAAATAACGTCAACTTGCTCATTACTGTCAATGGCTTCCGAGAGGTAGGTACTGCGTTATTATAAATAGATTTGTGGTTATTGAGCGATTAGCGA